TCAATTTCATTGCTGCAATAAGTTTGTTCAGATTTTCCTTTCCTGCTTCGGTTTTGGTAAGTTATATGTTTCTAGATCTTCATTTTTTTCTAGGTTGTCCAATTTGTTGGCATATTATTTTTCTTAATATTCCCCTCCAATCCTTTGTGTTTCTGTAGTATGGGTTGTTATTTCTCATTTTTCATTTCTGATTTTATTTGGGACTTTTGTTTTTTTATCCTGGGTGGAAGTTTATCAATTTCATTGATCTTTTAAAAGAACCTGCTCCTGGGGATCCTGAGTGACTCAGCATTTTGGCGCCTGCCTTTGGTCCAGGGCGCGATCCTGGAGTCCTGGGATCGAGTCCTGTGTCAGGCTCCCAGCATGGAGCCTGCTTCTCTCTCCTCCCGTGTCTCTGCCTCTCTCTCTCTCTCTCTCTCTCTCTCTCTGTGTCTATCATAAATAAATCTTAAAAAAAAGAACCTGCTCCTGGTTTCACTGATCCATTTTATTTTATTTGTTTAGTTTCTATAATTTATTTCTGCTCTAATCTTTACTATTTCCTTCCTTCTGCTGGTTTTGGATTTTCTTGTTCTTTATATTTAAAATGTGTCTCTCATAAATAACATACAAGTGGATCTTTCCTTTTTATTCCCTCTAACAGTTTTTGCCTTTTTATTGGAGTATTTAGTCCATTTACACTGAATTTTATGGTTGGGTTTAATTTTAGCATCTTGCTACTTATTATATAAGTAAGTATCTTATATCTTTCTTGGTTCCTTTGTTTTTCTTTCATTTGCCTCCTCTTGGATTGATTGAGAATTTTTTTAGATTTCATTTTACCTCACCTATTGGCTTTTCAGCTGTATGTCTTTGTTTTATATTGTTAGTGGTTGCTCTAGGAAACACAATGCCCATCCTTAACCCATTTTATCTTGATTAACGTTATATCACTTCACATGTAATGAAAGACATTTTAACAGAGCTAGTTTGGGTTCTCTGAAAAGCAGACACCAATGGGATTATTATACAATATTATGGGGAACACCTGTGAAGCATAAAGAGGGAGCAAGAGGGAGGAGGCGGCGACATCCTTCAGGCTGTGGAGGAAGAATGGGGAGGAAAAAGTTGGAGGTAGACTCTCAAATGGCAACACAGTCCTAAGGAAGTCTTGTTTAAGCTGAAGAGGAGTCCCTAAGCAAGGGTTGTCCCCTGGCTGTGTCTGGCATTAGGCCAAAATGGACTGCCTTGGGGGTCCCTGGATGGCTCAGCGGTTTAGTGCCGCCTTCGGCTCAAGGCATGAACCTAGAGACCCAGGATCGAGTCCCACGTCGGGCTCCCTGCGTGGAGCCTGCTTCTCCCTCTGCCTGTGTCTCTGCCTCTCTCTCTTTCTTTCTGTGTGTCTCTCATGAATAAATAAATAAAATCTTTAAAAAACAAAAAAAAACCAAAATGGACTGCCTTTAGTGCTCCTCATGATGCTGAGTCATTGGCTGGTAGCAGCCAGGGAAGGTACAACCTTGGCATAAAAACCACAGTAGATGGAAGGGGCAGTCGCTAGAAGCTGTCATTCAACTAAAGACCCCATTTCCCAAAGACCCCAGTAGGTCTCCCTAAAGTCAATTGGAGCAGTTCACCTCCACACGGCCATAGATCCCACTTGTGCTGTAACAGAGCCTCTTCTCCCTATTCAGGAAGCAACTCCTTCATGGTTCCTCGGGCCTCTCTCTTTCAGTCGGAACTTAGTAGAGAGAAATTAATGGGACAGCCTGTTTTCCTTCCAGGGCCCTAAGCAAGCAGCCAGGCCATTGTACACTGTCTAGGAATCTGCAGTATTAGATTCTTACCTTGTGCTACTTCTCTTTCCACTCAAAGTGAATGACCAGGTGTGCCACTTGCCGCTCTGCCTACTGGGAAGGTTTTCGCTTTTCTCCATCTTTCAAGTTCACCCTCAAATGTGGACATAATGCACTCTCCGTGTTCAGCTCACTGCCATATACTGAGTCCACTCAACTGTGCACGAAGTTCAGGCTTTTTCCTCCTCCCTCAGCTAATCATATGCAATCCTCCCTACAGCCGTAGGTGTGGCCTGGGAGATGGGTGCTGCTGCAACTACAGCGAGTGACGTGGAAGCGTGGGCCACCTGCTTGTGGAGTTAACTTGTGCTCTCCTAGGCTTAGGCTTGAGCCTGTAACATTTCCATTTTATAAAAGACTGATGTTGGGCTTGTCCAATGTTATGACTTGACAGATCTGATGGGCCCCAGATCAGCAGGGATAATTCCAGGTGCAGGATCATTTGATGCTCCAATAACCAAGCAACCACCCCAATCTATACCAGGTCCCCGTAGCATGACAAGAGTTATTTTTCAAAAGGCATGTATTTCTCTACTGCAGATGTCATGACCTTGCTCCAGAACCCCAGAGGCCTGCATTGCCATTCTCCCACAGAGGCTTGTTATAAATTTCACACTGCATCTTTTCCCACCACCGATGCTTCTAACACCAAGGGCCTGTTAGACTGCATGACCTATATGGCAAGACTGCTTGCACTGTGGCCTGAACTTGGTGCAGAGCTCTTTCATATTCGGGCCCCCCCACCCCACAAAGCTGATGGCCTTCTGTTTCACCATATATATGGGCCAGAGCAATATTCCTAGATGGGGAATGTGTTGTCTCTAGATCCCAAAGTGGCCTACCAGGCACTGTGCTTCCTTCTTTGTGGTAGGGAATGTGAGATGCCATCATTTTACTTTCGTAGAGGTAGCCTAGCCCATCCCTGACCACTAGACCCTAAAAACTTTACTAAAGGGATAGTTTCCTGAATTGTCATAGAGGTTTTCTCCCACTATCTGGAGCCCATGGGTCTTAAACGGACTTCAGTGTACTACTTCCTTCTGCTCATTTTCCCCAATCAGCATGACGTAATAGATCAATATGATGTTCTGCAGGATGTCTAGACAGTCCAGATCTCTTTGGAATATATTATGTTGGAGGGTGAGAAAGCTAACATAGCCCTGCAAATGAATATTCATTGTCCATTCCATATAAATGTGAATTCTAATCTCATTTTCTGATCTGAATAGAAAAGAACACATTCACAAAAGCAACTGACCTTATGCCACATGTCTGAAGCCATTACTAATCCCCCCAACAAGGGTCCCCAGCTATAACACATCAGGTGTAACAAGCAGTTACAGAACAACACAAGATAAATGAGACTAATAGAAAACAAATAGCAAAAAGATATGTCTAAATACAAACATACCAATTAGTACATTCATGTGAATTCACTAAACACTCCAATCAAACACACAGATTGCCAGATTGGATAAAAAAGGAAGATCCAAGTATATATTATCCAGTTCTTCAGGGTGATAGAAGTATTCTAGAATTTAACCGTGGTTGGAAAACATGTACATTTTCCCAGAAGTGATCAAACCAAATACTTAAGAAGGCTGAATGCTACTGTGGATAATTTATACACAGTAGCATGAGTCTGCAATCTCCATCATGATGGATCTAGCCCAAGGGGAAGGAAAAGGAAGATAGCAGACAATATAACTGATAAAAGTAGATGAAAAAATACTAAGCAAACTATTAACAATTCAGAAATGTGTAAAGAAAGATAAAACATCCTGACCAAGTTGAGTGTGTCCCAGGAATGGAAGACTGGCTGAACCTTAAAAAGTTGGGTCATGCAATTCATCACATTAACACATTTTAAGAGTAAATATATACGACCATCACAGGAGGTAAAGGAAGAAGAGCATTTGATAAAACATAACACCCTCTAAGCTTTAACAAAAAATAAAACTCTTATTAAATTTGGAATAACAAGTAATTTCCTTTTTTTTTAATTTCCTTTTTTTTTAACAAGAAATTTCCTACACATAAGTTACAATAAACAACACACTTAATGGTAGGATGCTTAAAATCAGGAAGCATACAAGGAGGTCTACTTCTACTACTTCTCATCACTGGACTAGAGATCCTATCCATTCAGACTGAAAAGGGAAAGAAGTATAAATATTTGAAAAATATATGTTATTGTTACTATTGTAGAGACTATGACTGTTCAGGAAGAAATACCAAGAATCTGTAGATAATTATTAAAATTAATAGGAAGATTAGTAGATTTTTTAAAAAAATCAATATTCCCAAATCAATGGCATTTCTACATATCAGTCAAAAGATTCGATGTATTTAAGATGTTATTTGCAATAGCAAAGAAACCTAAAACAGAAAAAAATTTTGAAACATTTATTTACTCATGAGAGACAGAGAGAGAGAGGCAGAGACACAGGCAGAGGGAGCAGCAGGCTCCATGCAGGGAGCCCAACACGGGACTCAATCCCAGGACCCTAGGATCACGCCCTGGGGCGAAGGCAGACGCTCAATCACTGAGCCCCCCAGGTGTCCCCAAAAAAGTAGTTTTAAAAATGGATATGTGTCTGCTGTTTCTGGACAAAATTATAATTATGAAAGTTTACTGAAAGAGAAGACCTAAATAGAGGAAGTCTTGTTCCATGCCATTAGATAAGGAGACTCAGTTTCATGAAGATGTCCATTCTCTTAAAAATGTACCTCTAAAATCAGTGCAAATCCAGTCAGACAAACAGTGGCTAGAACAGCCCAGAGCGCCTCCAAAACAGACTCATGTACATGTGGAAACTGGATTTCGAGCAACAGACGTTGCACATCAGCAGGGAAACGGTGAGCTTTGTGCAAAGGGGAAAATCTATGGCAAACGAAATCTGAGCCTTACCTCGTACCACACCCAGAAGTCCATGCACATGACCTAAGGCTCCAACGTGAGTGGCAAAAACGAAAGGAATTTTACACGACGTTGTAGAGGAACATCTGATCCCTCAGCCCAGAGAGTAAATCCCCTAAACACCTGGGGCAGACCGCAGAGGGAGCAGCCCCAGGCGAGGTCAGGGCCTGCACCTCTCGCTGCACCTGCGCACATCTGCACGCACCTGCGCACACCTACAAGCACCTGCACACACCTGCACTCACCTGCACGCACCTGCGCGCATCATCGAGCATCCCGAGCATCCCACGGCCGGAGGACGAGCTGGGGCAGAGGAAGGGCCGGCAAAGTCCAGGGAGTCAGCTCCATCCTGCACCGATGCCTACCAAGCTGTCCCCTGCTCCCGAGGGTCCAGAGCTCTGTGTGGAGGTAGCAAAAATAAATCCTTCTGTTGCTCAGGTGCCTCCAGATTCCCTGGGCTCGGAATCTGCAGCGTGAGCGTCGCCTGTGCTGCCTGGACGACATCCAGAGCCAGCGGGGACCCTGCGGCCCCTCATCGCTGCGGCAGGGACGGCGGCCCACGGGCGCCACGGCCCCACCTCCTTGTCCTGAGGGGTCCGCAGGATTAGCAAAGCATTCGGGTGCCCTGGAGGCAGAGGCAAGGGCAGGGCCCCGGGGCTGGAAGGGGCGCGAGGACCGCACACGCGGTAGGTGTCGTTGGCGCAGCTGCCGTGCTGCTCAGCAGCCTCGCAGGCAGGCACCTAGACCCTGCGGGCTGGCACCTCGGCTCTGCCCCGTGCGTCCCTTAGGGCCCCTGTCCGTCTACACTGCACGACCGTCAGTGCCTTTCTCAGCCTGTTCCATCGGTCCATCTGCACGCCGGTTACAGATTGATTGATATATTTTATTCACAAAATCTCCTCCCTGTGTTGTTCTCTTTAAGCACCCAGGCTACAGGATATCAAACAAATAGTGCTTGCCAGGAATCTGAGGGCTTGATGGAGAAGGAAGGAAGACACGCGCACACACACACACACATACACACACACACAGACTGGTTAAGAATCTGGGTTTTGGCCTAAGATCACTCAGGTTCAAATCCCATCTGTGGCATTTCCTAGTGGTGTGGCCTTGAAAAGTCACTTAATTTTTCAAAGTTTCAACATTCTTGTCTATAAGATGGAGATATACCCATCAATCAAACATTTAGGGAGAGCACACTTTGTGGCCAGCACAGGCTGGGCATGAGGGATCTAGCTCGAGACCACAGATGAAATCCCTCCCAAGCAGACCTGGTATTCAGGTCTCAACAAACGGATCTTAAACGCAAAATAAGGGATGCACAGTGTGGCAGGTAATGATGACTATGCTATGATGGAAAACAGCAGGGTGAGCCCGGAATGCAGGAGGTCTCTCTACTAGCAAGGGCCTCGAACACTCGTCTTAGGTGCAGGTGTGGGGCTGCAGACGGATCACAGATGGGCCGGCCTGGAGGAAGAGCATGAGGCTCAGGAGGAAGGCCCTGAGGGGGAGAGCAAGGCCCTGAGGGAGGAGCAAGGCCCTGGGGGGGTGGGGAGCAAGGCCCTGGGGGTGGGGAGCAAGGCCCTGGGGAGGAGCAAGGCCCTGGGAAGGAGCAAGGCCCTTGGGGGGGGGGGCAAGGCCCTGGGAGGGGAGCAAGACCCTGGAGGAGAGGAAGACCCTGGGGGGGGAGCAAGGTCCTGGGTGGGGGGAGGAAGGCCCCGGGGCGGGGGGGAAGAGCAAGGGCCTGGGTGGGGAGCAAAGCCCTGGGGGTGTGCAAGGCCCTGGGGGGTAAGGAGCAAGGGCCTGGGGGGAGAGCAAGGCCCTGGAAGGGGGAACAAGGCCCTGGCAGGGAGAGCAAGGCCCTGGGGGAGCGAGGCCAGGACAGACAGAGGGACGGAGGGAGGAGGAGCCAGGGCCTCGCTGGCCGTGTGGACCAAGGTAAGAGCGAGGTTGAGTGGAGGCCCTCCTGGCCTCCCGTAGGTTTGGGGTTTGGGCCTAGCGAAGTCCCGAATGCCAGGGATGGGGCGTAAGGGCTCCGGGTGTCCCCGCCTTTGCAGCCCAGGGACAAGGAGGGCACAGCGGAGTGGTCAAAGCTTGCGCCCTCGGGACCCATCAACCCGGCAAGAGGCAGGACATGAGAATCCAGGTATAGGCCCTCCCCAGATAAACACGGGGTTGACTCCTGTGAAAGCATGGACCTCTGATTTTTTTCCCCCTCAAAGTTTTTTTTTTATTTGAGATAGAGAGCAAGAGATGGAGAGAGAGAGGGAGAGGGAGAGGGAGAGGGAGAGGGAGAGGGAGAGGGAGAGGGAGAGGGAGAGGGTGAGGGAGAAGCAGACTCTCTGTTGAGCAGGGACCCCAACACAGGACTCAATCCCAGGACCCGGAGATCATGACCTGAGCCAGGGGCCCTCCCTGAAGTCACTGTAACACCCATGAGTGCCGACCACGGAGCTTCCCTACTCCCTGACCAGTGTCCCCGAGGCCCCGCACAGTGCCGGGCACGTAGTAGGCACCCCATGTTTGCAGAAGGCTTCTACGAACTGATTTCCTGAGAGTAGCCACCCACCCACGTGGAAGCGTTTTCAACTTCTTGGTGCTGACCCTATTAGTTTCTCCAACTCTCAGACGCAAACAAAATGATTGCTTACGTGTCCACGGAGCCAGTTCATTAAACGTTTAACTAGGTCCCCGAGATTCCTGGCAACTGAAGACAAAGAATCTCTGAAAAGCGCTGGAGCAGTGATAAGGAAATATCAGTCACCTCCTGGAAGAGGGTGGCAGGGTCCCCGTGAAAGACATCCTAATTGTGCCCTATGGTCCCTAGCAATGGTGCCCCCACCTCATTTGCTTTGTTCAAAGCCAAGATTCAAAGAAAAGGACAGCGGAGGCCCCCAGAGGTCGCTCGGGCCAACACTGACACGGGCCGCGCTTATATCCGGAGACCTCACAATGTGAAGGTTAAAGCAAAAAAAACACCCCAAAATTTATCTGATATCTTTCCCAGCCCCTCCCCCCTCAGCTAAGGACAATTACTCTCAACCTAGACGCAGAGCTGGGGATTCGTGGACATGTGGCCACGGGGCACATGATGTCACCGCCTCACCCCACAGACACACTATTCATCTTCCCGTCAATGAGAAGCAGGGGTGGGCAGTGGGGGGGTGGGGGGGTGTCCAAGAAGGGGAGGCAGCCTGCGGGGGCTGCGGGGCTGACGGTGATCCCAAGTCTCAGATACTCACAGAAGTGGGAGGAAAGTTCTTCCCAAGCTGGGGGGCCGGGCAGGTGGGGGGAGGTCTGGAAGCTCATGAAGGAGGAGGAGACCACCACCCCCCCCCAGCAAAGCCAGCCTCAAACCGAGTTGCTAGGAAACGGGAACTGGCTCTATCTGGTGGGGTCCTGGGGGTCAAGGCTACAGGACGGAGGAGGGCTGGCAGGGAGAGAACGCATTCATGACATCAGGGGGATAAAAGGAAACGCTTGGGTTGTCAAGGTGCCAAGCTCACTTTTAAAAAGCAATATGGAAAAAATAAAATAAAATAAAATAAAAAAATAAAAGCAATACGGAAAAATGAAATGGGGGCATTTGGAAAGGGGTGAGAAATGTGAGCAACAGAAATGGATGAAGGGTCACGTTGAGCTAGTTGATGAAAGGTGCCAACAAGTGTCCTCACTGCCCCCCTCACCCCCGAGCTAGAGGTCCTGACGGTACTGCCATGAACACTCCTGCCAAAAGCTTTAGGGCCTCATGAATCTCTGACATTGTTCAGGAAAAAATGGAAAAAAACAAACAAAAACAAAAACACGCTATAAGTAGCTGAGGGAAGCAGAACTCTAGAGCAAAAGATCAGCCTCAACCTGAAATGTTTCCTACAACACTCCCTGCATTTTCTAATCTGTGAAATAGCTGCTCATCCTGCCTGAAATCCTACTGGATAAAGATGCATATGCATCACTGTATCCCTTCTTTTCAAAAGACAAAGAACTCCCAGGATGTTAGGAGAGGTGTTTGCTAGTCATTCTCACATTAGAATAAATTAGCCCACCCACTTTTCTTTCTAACATCTAGCTGAGATTATTTGTGCTAAGGGAGGAGGTCTTAATTAAAAATGAAAGTTAGTGGGGGCGGGCACTTGGGTGGCTCAGTAGGTTAAGGCTCCAACTCTTGATCTTGGCTCACGTCATGATCTCAGGGTCCTTAGCATCCTCTGTCCCCCTCTCTCTCTGCCCTTCACTGCTCACTCACTCGCTCTCAAAAAGAAAAAAAGAATAGAAGTCAGTAAGGACTCTCCATGTACTCACGTTTTGTTCTGACTTTATGTCTTTATGTTCCTGCAACTTCTAAAAAGGATCCGAGGCAGCAAATATCTTTAATTTTGAGCATGGATTTTAGGGAGTAGGATGCACGTTCCGCTCTCCCCTCCCCTCCCGTACCTGGAAAGTATGGTTGGCACACAGTAGGGAAGAGATCGGGAAGGTTAAATGGAAGTGATCCCTGACGACACGCAGATGAAGTCGTCTCCTGCTGGTTAGATCCCCACACGTCGTGTCACAACAGAGCGAGCGAGGCTACGTCAGTTGTGGAGGGTCGGTAGGGCTCCCAGGCCCACGCGTTGGCTCTGGGCTGGCTGGAGACGCCCCTACTGCCAGGGCCAGAGCGCGTCCTGCCAAGGCCGGGGGGGCGGGGCGGGGGGCTCGGAACATGAGAGGGAAGGAGCAAGGCCTGAGCCTAACGGTGCATACGGCACTTACAGGAGAGAGCAGCGCGGCCTCGGGTGCTTTCGTGCAGTCCTTGCACAGCTCGTGCCCTGATTTACATGAGGCCCACCACGGAGCCAGCTGTCTTTTAAAAAAAAAGATTTTATTTATTGATTTGAGAGAGAGCGCGAGCAGAGTACCAGCAGGGGCAGCGGGAGAGGGAGAAGCAAGCAGACTCTCCGCGGAGCACGGAGCCCAGCACGGCCCCTCCCGGGACCCGGGGGCCACGGTCTGAGCTGACGGCAGCTGCTCACCGACGCAGCCGCCCGGGCACCCCGTGGGGCTCTCTGACCCCCTCTGACTGCCTCTGCAGATTTCTTTCCACGGAGGAAATGCGCTGGTAGCGACATGCTCATCCAGGGGGGTTAGCAGCCACCAGTGCTGGTGGGTGACCTGGTGTCTGGTTGCTACGTCAAGCTCTTCCGAGTGTGTTTAACCTGGGTCAGGCCCTAGACGTCAACTGGTTCTTGCTCTGAGAGCACAAGAAGCTGTGTGCTCGGGACCCGATAACCGCAGACTGTGGCCCTGGCCCAGGACTGCACTAACAAAGACACGGGGGACACTCCCCCCTTCTTTTCCTTTCCCTCGCACCCTCCTCCTGGATCACACAGATCATCTTTCCATTCCTAAACCCCCTCCC